ACCTGGCCGCCTGACACAAGCGCCAGCCTGACAACCTCGAGGAGTTCATCACCGTACCCCGGTTCTGATGGGATATGACGAGTCTTACCGTTTGAAGGCTTTTCACCCACCTAACCCGCGAGGACACCACTATATAAGGACTCCGACCCCCAAAGCCGAAAGGGGGAAGAAAAAGGATGGTAACCCCTGCTCTCTAGCTCTCTCATTTCTCTCCAAGCTCTCTGTAATCAGAATGCTAACTTGGGCATCGGAGAGTCCCCACCGAGAAAATACCCCCATGTCCTCTGATTCAGTTCTCGCAGGTCCCTCAGCTCCCACCGCCTACAAAGGAGAGGAAATCACCTCACACGGAGGGTAGTTGGGTTGCGCTGCACCAGTTGCAGACCGCCTAGGAGCAAGTCAAGTGACGAGTCCACCAGGCTGTTCGCCACCAGGCAGTTCGCCACCAAGCAGTTCGCCACCAGGGAGTTCACCACCAGGCAGTTCGCCACCAGGGAGTTCACCACCAGGCAGTTCGCCACCAGGGAGTTCGCCACCAGGCAGTTCGTCACCAGGCAGTTCGTCACCAAGTAGCTCTCTACCAGGGAGCTCGCCACCGGGCAGTTCGCTACCAAGTAGCTCATCACCAAGGCACGTCACCACCGGGTCAAACAACGAAGTACTTAGCCAAAAAATTTATTCATCACAAAAAATGGTATGTGACCAGAAACGGTTACATCAACTACTTATAAAGAAAAATAGAAAAAGTTGAAGTAAAAGTTTGTCTCTCTTTATACTTTGTCTATTGACTCAAGAATCAAGAAAGAGGAAGGAAGGTTCTTTCCATTTCCCATCATCCATTGTACTGCTAAAATGCTATCCCATAGATTTTTCTACACTTAATTTCCTTCACCTAATTTGGTCTGGGTTTCCATCAACATAAATTCTTCTTGCTTCATTGTTCTAAAAATCAATTAATTTCATTTTCTTTGAACATACTCAGAGCCCCATTTCTGTCTTCTTTCCCTTTTGCCTTTTAGTTTAAAATCAACATTAGTATTAAAAAAAAAAAAAAAACTAGTAGGTCCTTTAATAAGGTAGTAATCACTTTTTTTAATGAAAACAAATGGTGAACACGCCTTTAATTGGTGAAGTGTAGTGGAGTAAGGACACAAAAGGAATAAAAATAAGTTATAAAGACTGTAGGTGAAAAAGAAAAAAAAAATGAGACTCATTGAAGGAAGAAAAGCGAAAACTCTCCCTTATATATAAAGCAATAGATAAAACGATGCTTTTTTATTTCTCTTTACTGCTGAACAGAAATTCATCGCAAATAAAATCTATTTACTACTTCCTAGTTATTAGAGGATCTACAGCACTTCATATTTTTTGGGCCCTTGCATATTTCTAGGACACCCACTAGTGGGCCCAAATTTCTTTTGGTATGATATAGTTTGCTTTATAGGGGAATCAAAGGGTAGGTGCCGTAGGGTGCACATTAGGCCCAAGTGGCCATACTACAGAGAGCATGTGGCCATGTTTCGTGGGTTTGATCTTGCACCTCCTATTTTGGAGGAATGCTGACCGATCATCTCAACTACTGCTGGATCATGGGCACTAATAGGCGTAAATAGACTATATGATTTTTCACTGCAGTTATTATTATTATTATTATTATTTTTTATTATTATTATCTTTTTTTTGATGTCAGCTACTTATTATAATAAGCTTTAGTAGCAAACAAAATCTATTTACTTGATTATTAGGACCTACAGCACTTTATATATTTTGGGCCCTTGTATATTTCTGGGACCAAACCCACCAGGGGCCCAAATAGACTCCATTATTGATTGGATCCAATGTGTTAAACAGAACCCTATTACACTTATCAAAAAATAAATAATAAAAAAAAAAACAGAAGAAAAACAAAGAGCCCTATTAATGGGGTTCTTGTACATCCTCTAACCTGCTACCCATTGTGACCCATATTAGTCAGAGGCCATTCAATTAGCTTGGAATTTAGCCCACAGAACATTCAAGGAAAGGTTCACGAGTGCAACCAAAGAATTCGGTCCCAACCCTTTCATGTGACCCACATGCTCCAGTGATACCAGACAGAGACCCATGTGTCCCCTGAAATTTATTGCAAATAAAATCAGAGCATCTACAGAGAGAGAGAGACACACACAAACAAGTGTGTTTTTTATATGAGGTGGGTTACAGCAGACAATTACTGAGATGGATTAATTCAAACTTAGTTTTCTAATGTTGGTTTCGCCTGTCTACTATCAAGTTCTATCAAATCATCACCTAGGAAGCTCTACTGAAATCTTCTTTACTTAAGCTAGCTTGTGGGTGATTCCACCAGTTCATCATTCCTAAAACATCAATTACTATGACCACACACAACAGCTTTACTGAGCTCTGAGCCTAAAATGAAATCATGTCATGAAATTATATATTAATATATAAGGAGTCTTGCTGACATACTTGTTCAGTACATAATTACATATACACATGCACATAAATATGTGAGCTACCTTATGGCTATTGCAAAATTATGTTATGTTTCTTGTATATAATGATGTACCATGTACCATTAAATGTGAGCATTAAAAACCAAACAGAAGGGGAAAATATGAGGGGGAGAGTTAATGCAGTTGAGATGGAGAGAACATTGTGTACAGGTTTTCTTGAGGGATAAGGTTTCTATGTTTTCGGTTTTTTAGTTTTACAATTGTTAATAAAATTTACAGTGGCCACCCCTTCATCACGAGTACAGTTTAGAGTTTAAGAAAAAGTCGGAACATAAATGTGATGGAGTAATGTGAACCATAAGATGGACAAATGGTTGGTACATTATGGTTAGGAAATGTATACCTACTGTCCCTTTTCCGTGGTTTCGCTTAATGGTAAAATCTCGGGCTGACAAGTATGAGAAGACGGGTTTCAATCTTAGAGTAATCACTTTGTAACAAAGACATGGAAAGAAGGAAAGAAAAGAAGATACAAACGAAGGTTAGGTTTGTATTCAGTCTGCCCTTCCCAAGACCCAAGATAGATGGGTCCAACATTGGATAATTGTCTTTATGCAGATGATAATACTAATCCAATGGACAGGAAGCCAGTAGCATTGAACCATGGTACCTGGACAAACACATAAGTTGGCATATTTTCATAAAAATAACAACCCAAATTAACATTGATTGTACAGGGGGGATTGCTTATCAGTTAATAGATATTAAACCAAAATTTAGTTATACTGTGGTCTGTGGTAGCCCAAAGCCATAACTATGTTCTTCAAGACTCCAAACTGCTGGTAATTAAAGTGGAATCGGACTATTTCAGAGGTGGGTGTGACCAAAGCACTCATACATTATCTGGGTATGTCATAACTGTAATCCACTTCAAATGTCATGAAAACCAAGCAACCACACAATCAATCAATTAATTAAGAACCATGTGATCCAGTTCACAGAGGCAAATGGCCAGCAAATAACTCACTCAGCACGGGTCCAATGGTTATTAGACCCATTTAATCAGAAGGAAGCTCCAGGACAGATGATAAATATTCAATGGGTACAAGAAGCAGCAACCTATAGAAGTTCACATGAAGCCTTGAAGAGTCAGCAACTCAGCCTTGTAAGCTTGAAATTTGGATTCCCTTGTCCAATTCCCTCCCACAAAAAACGGAATTCCACAAGGTTGTGGTTGTGACTCCCATACTATTCTTTTTCCTGGCCGACCGTGATTGAAGCCAATCTTTCCAAAAGGAACCCTTAGACCATACTCCTAAGAGTCTGATATGATCTCATTTCAAAAGGAACAACAAAATAAGGGTCCCATGCACATTATTTTATTCAACTCTGTCACTCTTCTAATCTCAACCACCCTCCAATTTCAAAAAGAGACGAAAGCAAGAAAAATAGAAAATAAAATCAAAGTGGCCCAACAAAGTAAATCAAGCACTACCTTCCATAAGTCTTCACCTTCCTTTCTAGCTTTAAATAGCTCCACGCTTAGACCATCTAACCCAGACACCCACATCACACAAGCCATGGACTGGTTCTCCTGGTTATCCAGAACTGGCCTCGAGTCTTCACTTGTTTATGAATACAGCCTCGCTTTTGCCCACAATGAGCTCGAAGAGGAGGATATAATTTACTTCAACCATGAATTTCTGCAGAGTATGGGCATCTCCATTGCCAAGCATAGGCTAGAGATACTCAAGCTTGCCAGGAAGGAGAAGGGAGGAAGGCTGCACCCTGTGACAAGACTTCTGGCAGCAATCAAGAAAACCAAGAGGTGTTTTGCTAATTACATCCACTCATTGGTTCATCGTGATGAATCTGCTCTTGTTGTGGTGCCCAGACCTTCTTATGGTCAGAAGTGGAGAGGATCCATGCTGAAGAGGAATAAGAGGTTGATGAAGCTCAAGCAAGGAAGGTTGATGTTAACAGGTGGATGTGCAATGGTTGAAGAGCCTCCCATTGATGCTGGGGAAGCTCCTGTTGTTCAGGATCTACACAGTGAAGAAAAGGTGGATGATGATGATGATGATGATGGATACTGGTCCACAGCAGTCGAGGAGATCAGATGGGACACAATGTTTCAGGATATGAAGCCCACATGAAGCTCTTTTTTTTCCTTTTTCTTCCTCTTTTTGCAAATGCTGAGAGATGGTTCTTTTTTGTTCTACCACCAGAGAATTTGGTTTTGTGTGCCTCAGAAGGCTTCCTTACTTTTTTTTTCACTGGTGGGTCTTGTAAAAAAATCACTTTAGCACCATAGATCACTACTACATTTCTTTTTTCTTTTTTATTTCTCATCATCTGGTAGCAAAACAAGCACCAAAAGCTTGTAAGAATTGGCCTTTTCTCCACTTCTAAGAAAATAAGTGGTAAAGGGAGTCTCGTTTAGTTGAAAGAATTGGCCTTTTCTCCAGAGCAAACTATTTTAGAGAGGTTCTAGACTCAGGAATGCCAAGCCTCAAGACCGATCAGGGTGCCTTTTGAGAGTTAAAGTAGGACCCAGAAGAAAAGCTTGCCCTGTGAGAGTTCAGAGCTGTAGAACGATTAGCACAGAGACAGAGTTTCATTGTGAAGAAAGGCACAAGATAGCGATTCAGACTGGGGTATTCCCATCCTGGTAAACTTTTAAGTAGTTCAAAATTTGAAGGGTAATTGCAAACCAAATGCGCCAGACTTCTACCGAAACCCATGCAGGTGGTTGAACAAATCCCAAGGTTTCTGTACTTAAATGTCTGGCTTGTCTGCAATGCAATTTCATTTGCATTGGTGCAGAACTATGGGAATGCAAATTCTGATTTATTTTTGTTTCAACTTTTGTTTTTTTGCCTGCAAATGAATAAAAAATAAACTGAAGCAAAGTGAAAGCAGGAGCAAGAGTGGACAGAATTTGCATTCTTTCCGTTTACAAATGAAATTGCACTGCAAACAAACAGAGACAGCATGCAAAATCCGCAGGCATGGGGCAGTGACTAGTGCATAGAGGGTAAAGGGAGAGTGGACATGAAAGAAACAGCTGAGATGATGGGTTCATACTGAAACTTGCAAATGTATTTCCAGCTGGCTTAAAAAAAAATCCATCAAGGGAAACTAGTATCTTAAATCACCTCAAGTCCTCAACTATGAATTTATAGGTACAGACAAATAAATCTTCTTTCAGCCTTACATGTAAGGCTCAATCATTCTACCACTATTTGTTCAGTTATACATCATATCTTGATCGATGAGTGATCTCAAGATTCAATATGTTAAGCATAATGCTACAAATTGGGAACATGACTAACTCCAACACTGTTTTCTTCCCCAAGTAACCAGGATGACAAATCGATATACAACAGAGCACCACAATTCAGTTATGTTGAGCTCTGTAAAATGAACACAAAGAGGCACAGATGATCTAGGATGAAGATGATGCAAATTGAGTGCAAATGAGGCAAAAGTACAAATTTTGTATCAAATAGGAGTACAAATCATAGTTACAATTTACAAATTACAAGACAAACAAATGCAAAACGGAACTGAGTGCAAAATTTATATCTAGTTCTGTAGTTCAGATTTTCACTGCAAACAAACATGAGGGATTACAAGGAAAGACAAGTGCAGACCTGGGACTAGTGACACCTCAGTGAAACAGATCAAATAAGATATGGTTTAACCAACATGGAATTATCAAAATTATAGAATGTTTGTTATTAGCTTATACAGAACTATTTTACACATTAACCATCCAATCAACTGTGATCATTTTAACAAAACTTGTTAGTTGGAAAATGAGATCCTCAAAGCACAGGAGAAACATTCTGCAGATAGCCTCTTACACATTGATTTATGTGTGCATTTTAAGTAGCTCAAAACGTTTTAGGTAGAAACAGCAATGGTACCAAGTGCAAATTTGATTTATGCTATTTTCTTGTGATAGAAAAATGAATTAAAATGATAAATATGAAAATAATCTGAAATGCAAGCCCAGAATGATAAAACAGTACTAATCTAAGAAAGTGTTCAGAAATGGCACCACAACCAAGACGACCAAATACCAATTTGTGTCAGGTTATTTAGAACAGTTACACCAGAGTCCAGACCCACCCCCCATAAAGTAGTACACCAAGAATAGAAGGTAGGTGCCAGTAATCTGAGTTGATAGAGCTTCTCAGAATTTGAAATCCTCTCCTCTCTTTGGATCTCTTCTTCGTCACAGCCTTCTTTCCTTCAGCCAGAAGCCCAGAGGTGTGTCCATGACAGAAACACATCACTCGGCAGGAAATTTCCAACATTTATTGTGAATGAAGATGAAGTCAGAAATGGCTCAACTTTGTATGAATCATCTTCTCTTGGCTGGAACCAGACAACCTGAAGAACCAAAGGAAGCAGAACCATGATTGCAACAAACGTGTAGGAAATTTGGGGCACTTAAAGCAGGTTAATCCCGCAATAAAAAAGGGTCAAGGGGAAATTATTAATGATGCATGGCAACGGATACTAAAAACGTATAGTTGGCAAATTTATGCGGCAAGCCTAAATAAATATTTATTGTCGAAAGCGGTGTACAAGAATTGAATTATCCCCATTCCATGAATTGGGATATTAAAACTCAACTCACTCCACTGGACCACTTATAGAAATGCCATGTCATCCATATTTTTCAAAATATCTAAAATGCCCATCGAGAAATGCCACTTCATCCATATTCAAAAATTCTCAAAATGTCCATTTCACACGTGACTGATAATTTCCCTTCCCTCTTCCCGTTCACTCCCATTTTCGTTTTTACCTCCTTTGAAGGGTCCGGATGTAGTAGGGCACACGTTAGGTAAGTACAATGAGTAAGCACCTAATAGCTTTGTGATACCTGCCTCAGTTAACGTGCTTTTCCTTTAAACGTTTTCAGGAATTATTTATTTCTACTGTTTATTGTCTTTTCCCTCTAAGGCGACCCAATCGACAAGAACAGATGACTTACGGTAATGCAATCCTTCTCAAATTCCCCATTTGATTTTAACAGAAACCCAACCTTTTCTGGTCCCGTTTACTTCCCTAGTTTTTCTTCTTATCACCCCACTACCGTTGCTCTATCATTCTAATCATCAATCGAGCTCCTGCTCTGTGAATTCTGTTGTTCGAACTAGTGGTTATCCCTACTGAAATCCAAGAAAATCATCACCAGTCGAGTGCTAATAATCCTAGACCGGATCGGATTAAAAGTCTCTTGCAGAATCATTGCTCATGCCAAAATTTTGATTCAGGTATGTCTCTTCTCCTCTGCGATTTCCCTTTTTTCATTTTTTACTTATTAATTCTAATGGAACAAAAATGTTTAGATGAAAAGCACATTAACATCACACAGCTATTAGGTGCTTACTCATTGTGCTTACCTAATATGCCTATTACATCCGAACCCCCTTTGAAGAGCCTGAACGTCTTCATCAGAAAATCTACAACACCTTCGATCCTCTTCACCAACGCACACTAACGGAAGCAAAGATATCTCCCTCTTCTCCCCATTGACTCCCATTGAACAACCCAAAAAATCTATAGCTCCTTCGATCTTCTCCTCCGGTGCAAACCGACCGAAGCGGAGATATATCTCTTACTTCCTTTGATGTGTCTTCTTCATGGGACCGCAGTCGAACAACGACATAAAAGTGTGAGCTGCTTCTGTAACTCGAAAAAGAGGTATTTCAAATGTGTGCTGCATAGGGTGTTTTTGTGAATTCATTTAACATATCAGTTGGATTCGAATATATATTCTACATTGGATTTTTGGCGTGAATTGTACATCTAGTAATCAATGAAATGAATTAGTTGTTCAACCAAGTGGTGTTAGCTCAATGTATATTGTTTATCTTTGCTTTTTCTATTGAATTTTTGTTCATGGAAGTTAATGCCGAATAGGCAAAAATGTCTATAATAATTTCAGTGACTAACTTAGGTGGCTCAAATGGTAGGAACCAGGCTAGAATGAATTCTGAAATTATCAATGATTTCTAAAATTTTCATTTACCATGTGACTCTAGGCACATGAGTTCTGAAATTATCAATAACCATATCTAATATTCTAAATTCTAAAACATCAGGATGAAGCAAGTGGAAATTAGGAGATGCATTGGCAAGTTAGAGTCTTACGCACTTGTTTATGCTTTTGGCATTTTCCTAACAATTGTTTGCATAAAGAATGGTAGGAAACACAATGGACAGAGAAAGAAATATCAAAGAAAAATAATCCTTGGCTTCACATTTAGATTGTCATCCAATGAAGGGAAAATTTAATATTCTTCAAGGATTGAAGACCACATTTGTTCTCTTTAGCACTGGCATGAAGTTTAATCAGCAAGTAACAATGGAATCCAGATCAGAATTGTTTCCATTGTTACCATATTAATGTCAACACTAAACAGGCTTAAACTACTGCTATCTAGTTTGATTTTCAAAATTATGATATGGAGTAATATAAAATTGCTACCTAGCCTAGAAAACATAATGTATAAGCTAGAAGAACCAACATTAGGTGTTCGAAACATTAAAATGTCACCTAGAAGGACAACTTTCAAATTCAAAAGTAAGAGGGAGAAGAATTGTTACCTGCACTTATCTCATTCATTACCTTAAGTTTTGAGGCATTAGGTATGATATGTACCACTAGCATGTGTTCTATGCCACGTCCTTAAGCTCACATAATAACCTGACAATGATTCGAAGATAGAATAGAGCAATTGCAGACATGTTGATTAGAGAAAATGTCCAATTTCAAAAAATGGAGTAAGATAATATGAATTTAAGCCAAGTTATACCTTCAAGTTAATAGTAATCACTACCACTAAATTGTTCGAAACTTCTATATATGTGCCTTATATACAATATGAGTTTATCCAACGATAAAAAACATCTTTATATTTGAATTTATATTCTTTTTATTCCGAGCTATAACAAATGATGATATAGGGTTATTTATATGAACTTATATTATTTTACTCCAACGTGTCACAGATGATAGTATGAGAAAATGTGTTCATATATCTTGTTTAATGGTGTTGGAATTTATTTGTACCTAGCATGGCAGTGTTTGTTATGTATTCGTTAGTGTAGTTTGGTTGTTATGGTCAATGATTCTGCTTATTAGTGTGAATTTATCTTGTATATTCCTATTTATATTATCTAATGCGTGGTTGGTTGATTAATATGTAGGTATTTTGTGATATATTCATGGTGTGCAAATGATATGTGGTTTAAGTTATACGGCAAAAGGTGACTCTTGCATTATAAGTCTTTGGTGCAGGTATGCCATCTACATGATACCGGTCCAAAGTGGATTGTGAGTTGAAATATTTTTAATAGTACATAAATTATAGTCAATTAACATGTTTGTGCTACAATTATGAGTTATAGTCAATAAGAAGTTGCTCCCCCCACAACCAATTGAAATACTAGGTGAAGTATTGCAAGTGTCGGGGGAAATGTATTATTCATGTATTTGGTGTTGGAGAGTTAGTGTAAATGTTGGTCTCTCGTTCAGTTTTGGTGCGGTTGGCCCAAATGATGGCCCCCGGCAACAAAGTGCCACGACGGTTGGTGGTTCAATCTTAGGTGGTGGAATGTTGGACGTTGTGTACGTTGTGTTGTTATTGAGGTGTCGAGTGTATAACCCGACGAGGGATCCGTTGTTGATGGAGCCTGTCTTGCAACCCCAGGTCAGGCAGGGCCACCCGTTGAATTTAAGCATATCAATAAGTGGAGGAAAAGAAATTAACAAGGATTCCCCTAATAACGGCGAGCGAACTGGGATCAACCTAGCTTGAGAATCGGGCAACCTTCGTCATCCGAATTGTAGTCTGTAGAAGCATCCTCAGCAACGGACCGGGCCCAAGTCCCCTCGAAGGGGGCGCCAGAGAGGGTGAGAGCCCCATCACACCGTAGAATCCCATGGTTTTCAAAACCGGACTGGACCGAAAAAATTGGTAACCGGTTAGCCATCCAGGTCTGGTTTTACTAGAAACTAGAAAATTGAAAAAAAAAACGTTGAAAAGTCAAAAAAACCGCTGACCCGGGTGGTCAGACCGCTAAACCTTTCGACCCGAACAACGGTTTGCGGGTTAATATTTTTATTTTTAATGTTTTAAATAACAAAAAAACAAAAAGTAAAATGCCAATTATATCCCACGATTTTCGAATCCCAGTCCCCCGTCCCTTATTCGGTTTAGCCTTTAGGGTTCCCGAGTTCCCTCCTTACTCCTTAATCCTCTCAAGTCTCAACCCTCACACCCTACCACCTACGACGACCATCAACTCCGGCATTCAACGGCGACATACACCAACGACAACCGGCGGACTTGTAGCGGCGGACGGCGAACGATTTGCAGCAGAGGCGACTTGCAGCGGCAGACGGCGAGCGACTTGCAGTAGTGGTGACTTGCAGCGGCGGGGCGGCGAGCGACTTGCAACAGCAATGACTTGCAGCGGTGGACTGCCCGAGCCCACCGGCGGCGAATCCCTGAAGGTATAATTTTTTTCTGATTTTTTTGTGATTTAATTGATTTTTTGAATTCTTTGGACCTGATAGAATGGTAATATATATGCTTGTTTAGTAAGCATGAATTAATTTTTCTAGAGATTTTTTTTCTTTGGTAGGATTTCTAGAGACAACTTTAGATTGAAAGAAAATGACTCTAAAGGGGACACTTAACTCCTTTAATCCTTATTTTTACTAATTGATGAGGGAGCTCTTGATTCAACTGAATCAATCAATTTTCTTTCTTTTTTTTCTTCACAAAATATGTTTTGATATGAAATTTATGTTTACTTCTCAAAATATGTTCAGATAATTTTTTCTGAGATGATATGCTTTTTTCTTCTCAAAAAAATAGGTGATCATTACATATTCTTGCTTACATATTTTTTCTATAATTTTTGGAAATTTTTCTATATTTTTTGGAATTTTTTCTGTATTTTTTGGAATTTTTTCTGTATTTTTTGGAATATTTTCTGTATTTTTTTTGTATTTTCTGTATTTTATTATTTATATTTAGATATTTTTATTTTTTTCATATGTTGTTCTTTTTTCTATATTTCCCTATGTATTTTTTGTATTTTATTTAAATTTCTGTTATTTTTTATTATATATAAGTATTTTATTGTTTTTTATTTGTTTATGATGTCACGGGTCGAACCGCTCAACCCGGACGGTTGAACCGCCGAACTGAAAAACGGTTCCCTGACCGGTTCGGTTTTAAAAACCATGTAGAATCCTAATAAGATCCCGACAATCTTGATGTAACTAATATTGCCACCCAATGTAGTTCATCGCTTAGTTTAAGATTCAATATTTGTATTGACCTTATTTTCTTTGAATGTGAAACTGGAATCTGCCAAATCCTAAGCAATCAAATGCAAGTCAAATGGAAGAATACATCAACGGTGGTTGTAACTTTTTTGTTAGGCAATTCCCATTGGCTCTACAAATGAAGTTACTCTTGCGATGAACATTGGTGGAAATATTAGCAAATGTGTTCTTGAGCTAAAAAGAGTGTTGTTTGAGTATCATAGATAAATGGAGTTCATGGTGTCATCTCAAAACCTATTGTTGGAAGGGATGGAGACAATTAGGTTTATAGTTATTTCCCGTGTCATTATATTTATATTTTCCTATATATTTAAGAACCGATAGTGAATGGTCATGTTTTTAGAAGGTGCACCTCAATGCATAAATTTGAGCATGTAATAAGCTGACCAAAATACAAGTGGAAATTAAACTCAGCTGAAGCTGACCAAAATACAGAACAAAAATGACCAAGTATAGGTGATAGCATGACCTAGTACAGTGAGAAGCCCATTCTACTGCTAGAATTAACTAGATGATTTTATAAACCTATCATGAAACTCGGGCAATCATAAACTCATCAATCATATTGATAAAAAAATAAATTAATCACTTATAAGCTAATAAAATATGTTGAACTATGAAAAATTAATCACAAATTTGTCTCTCTTCTTCAGCCTTATTTGTTACAACCCAGGAACAGAACAAAGATCAGCAATAGAGCCATTGTCCAGAAAGTATATACAAGGAAAAGACACGCGGGCCAAGATCCAGATATAAAACCGACCAACAGAAGAGTAACCAACTATGCAAGTGGGAATAATCTTGATTTTTGATTTTTGAGTTGTTACAGCTAAGGTAAAATGTATAAATTGGAAAAGATAGTAACAAAGAATTACCTTGAATGTTCGTTTGAAATCTCTCTCTCTCTCTAACACACTTAGGAGATCACAGCGTTGGGCAGAAACCCAATAGTTGGTATCAGAGCTCTGGATCCCACCACCATGCTAAGCACACGACCGTGTGGAGGTTAATCTGCACAAGGTCACTGGTGAACTTCAGGAGATCAAAGAGACACTTGCTACGGTGGTGGCTCAAACAGGAAGACTCATGACCGCTAGCAATCAACATGGAAGCCTAGGTTAATCTGCAACCCTAAAATATAAACATGCAACATGCAAAGTATACAAATTCTATTATGATCATCACAGAAGAAGAAGAAGAAGAAAGTAAACATACCGATCAATGGTCGCTGGAGCAAAGAGTCAGTCCAACAGAAACATACCTATCTTCTCTGCAAATTGGCGGAGAGGCGGAGGTGGAGAAAGTTGCAGCGTTCGAACCCTTGCAACCCGATGGGTATTCTCAACCCATATTCGACTCGCTTATTAAATGGCTGGGTTTGAATAGGTTGTAACTTGTAAGTAGATGGTTGGGTTGATCAAATGGGTTGGATCGGAAATTTCCCGCCCTTATTATTGATAAATGGGTTGCCATAGTTCAAATGGACATTTTGTATCAATAATATGACTAGCGGAGGGGGCTCTGCGTTGCAGGGGTTCACTAAACTATCATGCTTGAGTTCGATTCAAATTAGAGATTTGAATTTGAGCTTGAGCTCGGTTCGAGTCAAAAGYTCAAAAGTTCAAGCTTGATTACCTTTGATTGCAGATCTCTTAAGCAATTGAGGTGTCGAGCCAAGGTCTCTCTCATTTGTCGAGATGTCAAACCGAGATCTTCCTCAGTTGTTGAAGTGTCGAGCTGAGGTTTCCCTAGCAGGTGTCGAGCTAAGGTTTCCCTTAGTTGACAAGGTGTCGAACTGAGGTCTCCCTCAGTTGTCGAGGTGTTGAGCCGAGATCTCCCTCAGTGATCGAGGTGACACCCTATGTACACACTCGATTAGGCTTGTGAGACATTTGATTGCAGGTCTCCCTAGCAATCGAGGTGCCAAGCCAAGATCTCCCTCAGCTGCTGAAGTGTCGAGTTGACTCAATCATAGACGGGTTGGATTCACCTCTATAGATGGTAGTTATGGTTTAGTTGACCCGGTTGCCACAATCCCGTACAATAGAATCAAGGACGGCAACGAATGGAATTTGCATTATCAGATTCATGTATAGAACTTTACATACATCCAGCTTAAAAAATCCTCTCCTCTAGCATAGATTCATCTCTAATGCTTTTGAGAGGATATTAGGATGGTAAGCAAAGTTTATTTGACCCGTTCATCACAACCCCGCGGAGGGGTAAGCATGGATGGCGGCGGACATCGTTTACAAATTACTGATGGAAAATGTTACATAATTCCATTTCCCTTTTTCACTTAATCCTCACCTTTGACATGGATCTTATTGAGGTTAATTACCTGTTCACCACAACCCTGCGAAGAGATAACCACGGATGGCAGTAGATTGTATTTACAAAATTAGATTACTAGTGTAAAATGTTACGTACATCTAGTTCCCCTTTTCACTTAATCCTTTCTTCTAACATTGGTTTACCTCCAATGCTTCTGATAAGATATCGGGATGGTAAGTGAGGTTTACTTGACCCATTTGTCACAACCACTATGTATGAATAACTACGGACGACGGCGGACGACACTCACAAAATCAGATTACCGGTGCAAAATGTTACATACATCTAGTTCTCATTTCCACTTAATCCTCTCATTTGATATGGATTCACCTCTAATGTTTCTAAGAGGATATCGGGATGGTAAATGTGATTTACTTGACTCAATCGTCACAACTCCACAGTCGGATAAGCACAAAACGGTGGCAAATGACACTCACAAAATGAGATTACTAATTCAAAATGTTATGTACATCCAAAACCCCTTTCCACTTGATCCTTTACTCTGTCATGAGTTCGCTTCCAATACTTTCGAAAGAATATTGATATGGTAAGTGGGGTTTACTTGACGTATTGACCCAAACATTATAACCCCACGGTTGGATAAGCATGGACGGCGGTGGATGATGCTCATAAAATGAGATTGTGTACAAAATGTTATGTACACCCAAATCCCCTTTGCACTTAATCCTCTCTACTCCGACATGAATTTGCCTCCGGCTTGCTACAACCATATGGAAGAATAAGTACAAATGACAGTGGATGACGCTTACAAAAATCAATATCAATATAAATACATTAAGTTGGAATGTATACAAAGAAGGCCTAAGAAGACAAGAAATGGAATCTAATAGTAAATTTGTTTTTTTTTTCCTTTCAAATTACAAGAATGCCACTCTCTCTCTCTCTCGGTTTTTTTTTTCAAATTACAAGAATGTCACTTTCTCGGTCTCTACTACCAACTCTCTCTCTCTCTTAAATTACAAGAATGCCACTCTCTCCTACCAACTCTCTCTTATTCCTTACAAATTACAAGAATGCCACTCTCTTATGAACTCTCTCTCTCTCCCCTTATAAATTACAAGAATGCCATTCTTTCTCTTGCCATCTCTCTCTCCAACTGAGGGAGACCTCAGCTCGACATCTCGGCTACTAGGGGACCTACAATCAAAGGTAGTTGAGCTCGAGCTCAAGTCTCTAATTTGAGTCGAGCTTGAGCTAGACGACACCTCGACCAAGCTAGACAACACCTCGACTACTGAGGGAGACCTCGGCTCAGCACCTTGACAACTGAGGGAGACCTTAGTTCGGCACCTCGTCAATTAAGGGAAACCTTAGCTCGACACCTCGCCTGCTAGGGAAATCTCAACTCGACACTTCAGCAGCTGAGGGAGATCTTGGCTTGGCACCTCGATTGCTAGGGAGACCTGCAATCAAATGTCTCACAAGCCTAATCGAGTGTGTACATAGGGTGTCACCTCGATCACTGAGGGAGATCTCGGCTCAACACCTCGACAACTGAGGGAGACCTCAGTTCGACACCTTGTCAACTAAGGGAAACCTTAGCTCGACACCTGCTAGGGAAACCTCAGCTCGACACTTCAACAACTGAGGAAGATCTCGGTTTGACATCTCGACAAATGAGAGAGACCTTGGCTCGACACCTCAATTGCTTAAGAGATCTGCAATCAAAGGTAATCAAGCTTGAACTTTTGARCTTTTGACTCGAACCGAGCTCAAGCTCAAATTCAAATCTCTAATTTGAATCGAACTCAAGCATGATAGTTTAGTGAACCCCTGCAACGCAGAGCCCCCTCCGCTAGTCATATTATTGATACAAAATGTCCATTTGAACTATGGCAACCCATTTATCAATAATAAGGGCGGGAAATTTCCGATCCAACCCATTTGATCAACCCAACCATCTACTTACAAGTTACAACCTATTCAAACCCAGCCATTTAATAAGCGAGTCGAATATGGGTTGAGAATACCCATCGGGTTGCAAGGGTTCGAACGCTGCAACTTTCTCCACCTCCGCCTCTCCGCCAATTTGCAGAGAAGATAGGTATGTTTCTGTTGGACTGACTCTTTGCTCCAGCGACCATTGATCGGTATGTTTACTTTCTTCTTCTTCTTCTTCTGTGATGATCATAATAGAATTTGTATACTTTGCATGTTGCATGTTTATATTTTAGGGTTGCAGATTAACCTAGGCTTCCATGTTGATTGCTAGCGGTCATGAGTCTTCCTGTTTGAGCCACCACCGTAGCAAGTGTCTCTTTGATCTCCTGAAGTTCACCAGTGACCTTGTGCAGATTAACCTCCACACGGTCGTGTGCTTAGCATGGTGGTGGGATCCAGAGCTCTGATACCAACTATTGGGTTTCTGCCCAACGCTGTGATCTCCTAAGTGTGTTAGAGAGAGAGAGAGATTTCAAACGAACATTCAAGGTAATTCTTTGTTACTATCTTTTCCAATTTATACATTTTACCTTAGCTGTAACAACTCAAAAATCAAAAATCAAGATTATTCCCACTTGCATAGTTGGTTACTCTTCTGTTGGTCGGTTTTATATCTGGATCTTGGCCCGCGTGTCTTTTCCTTGTATATACTTTCTGGACAATGGCTCTATTGCTGATCTTTGTTCTGTTCCTGGGTTGTAACAAATAAGGCTGAAGAAGAGAGACAAATTTGTGATTAATTTTTCATAGTTCAACATATTTTATTAGCTTATAAGTGATTAATTTATTTTTTTATCAATATGATTGATGAGTTTATGATTGCCCGAGTTTCATGATAGGTTTATAAAATCATCTAGTTAATTCTAGCAGTAGAATGGGCTTCTCACTGTACTAGGTCATGCTATCACCTATACTTGGTCATTTTTGTTCTGTATTTTGGTCAGCTTCAGCTGAGTTTAATTTCCACTTGTATTTTTTCCTGGTTTTAGTAGGGATTTTTCTTCCTGAGATGATTAACAAAAGCTTTCTGATCATCACTGCTAAAAAAACTTGTCTATAGATTCTATATTCCTCCTTTTTTTTATTTTCTACGAATTTAGCTTAATATTAAATTCTCGAAATGCTGTAGGTGTTTGGTTCGTACATGTAATTTGATTGGAATAACTTCTAGAGTAATACTTTCTTTAACTTGGTTGATTAATATTCTATTCTCTAGCTGCTTGCTTGAGTGCACAAGTGGGAAAAAACACTTTACCTGCCCCCTTTCTTTGAAATTTGTTTGCTGCGGGTGTTTTGATGAATTTCATAAGGTTGCATTATTATTAAAACATTCTTTCATGTTTATGTGAATTTCCAAAACACCCTTGCTCAGGCACATGATAAAACATTCTCTCCAAACGTGATTCTGTTTCTGAGAAACAGAAATCAAATGACTGTGCCAAACAAGACCATTGATTCTCAAGATGAAAATTCTCAGAATCCATTATTTTCTGAATGGATTCTGAGAACGAGAATCCTCAGAATTGATGCCAAATGGGGCCTTAATTATTCCTATTTATGCCATTTAGAAATTGTTTCAAACATTGTGATTCCAGTGAACTTTTCAGGAGAGAGTAATGGGGAGGGTAGCCGTTGCAGTTATAGTGAGTTTGTGGGTTATTCCAATAACGTTGATGGTCAATCACATCGTTCCAGAGCCTTACATGGTAAGCAGTTACTTTCATTCTTTTTACTTTTTTCCTTCAGATATACCCCTTTAGTGGTTTCCTTTGTTAACAGATGTAGCTGGATTTGCAGGATGAGATATTCCACATTCCTCAGGCGCAACAGTACTGCAGGGGTAATTTCAGGAGCTGGGATCCCATGATCACCACACCCCCTGGCCTGTGAGTTCTAGAGTCTCATTTTATATGTTTATCCATTGACCAACTTAACATTTTTATCTATAGATGATATGACCAATTAAGGAAATAGAACTTAAATATTGAAATGCAAGTATTTTGACAGCCATTTCATCCAGATAAGTTGATTTGACTCATTAGTGATGTGGGTAGAGCAATTCTGATTATGATTACAATTTTGTGAACAGTACAACTTAAGTAGCTATAAGAAAGTAGGAATGAGAAAAGGGACTACTTTTAAGTAAAGATCATTTTATGTCTGACCAAATTGAGGTACAATGAATGTTTTAATCTTATTGAGAGAAGAATATTAAGAAGCATAATAAATTGCATTCTGAACATTCTTTATGTAAATTATAAGGAGTGAACCTGAAAAAGCAAATTACACAGATATACAAGTACACATGTAACTAATAGTGATAATGAATATTTATGCAGATGTAGGGGTGGAGAACAGAAGGATGGAAAGAAGCTTTAATGTAGAAGAGATCAAGGAGGCTATGTTTTCTATGAATAGAACAAAAGCTTCAGGGCCGGATGGGTTTACAATGGCTTTTTATCAGGATTGTTGGGATATTTTGAAAGATGATCTCTTGCGGGTGTTTGAGGAGTTTTTCAGGAGA